TCTTCCGTTCCCTTTTCCGGAAAACCTGGATTCTCTCCCCCGTCCCCTCCCCCCGCATGCGCTAATTCTACTTCCTCTGAATTTCTAGTTGGGAAACGCCATTGCAAGGCTCACTTCGTTTTTGCACGGTTCTCTTCAGCAGGATGATAGATAAACTAACTCAAGGTGTGAGTAGAGAACCTATATATCAGGAGTGTACGGACATGCCGAAATATGGATCTCTCGGGGTCATAAAGAACAGCCAATCTTTGAAAACGAAAAATTTCACTGCCAATCTTCAGATTCCAATACCAAACCAAAATGGCCAAGAACGTTCATGAATGAGCGTTTTTTCCGCAAAAACGAGTAATACGCAAAAACCAAGGCAAATTCATGCTTGACCAACGATGGATCGAAACAATTGTAATGGTAAACCTTTCTGGATAATTTGAATTCATAAATTGGCTGCCTTTTTGGACCACAAGAGCTCGATCATCTGCACCGCGTTTAGCAGAGGGTAATCCAGCTACATTAGCTGTTGCTAAATGTAACTGGACAATCTAATTTTTTACAAGAGAACATTTGTGCGGATTTTTCAGAAAAGCTTGAGGAATTTGCTTTGTACTATGCAAAAAAGTCACTGCAATTTGCACAAAAATCCGCACAACCGTTTTTAAGTAAAAATATCAAATTTTCCCATAAAATATAACAATAGCTGATGCGGCTTGGTTCCTTTCTGCTTAAACGCAGTCCACCTATACTGAAAATTACCGACGTATCCATACTCTCCCTGTATAGGTACTCGAGGTGTGAGGTGAAGAAAAGCACAAGACCTCTGTCTGGCGACAGCGCGTTCGGCTCGCCTGAAGGTCTTCAGGCGAGCGCCTCATAATCGCAGCTTACCCCTTCGCTTAAACTGTGTTATTTCCATCCTCCATGGGTCCCCCTTTGGTCCCTGCCCGCCCCCTCGGTCTGGAGTCGCGGCGACCGAATCAATCGGCGGATCTTGAGGATGCGGCTCGGGATCCCGATATGGACAAGCGGGTCACCATACAGCACTCGTCCATGCAGAACGGCGCGAGCCTCGATATATCGAATTTCGACCGCCCGTGAACCGTGGATATGGGTTCGACGCGGCCGGAGACCAAGTCTCCTCGCGCGCGGAGGTTTTACACCCATGCAAATTATAATCCTGGCGGCGTGCAGTTTTCCCGGTGTTGCAACAGGAGACGATATATTTGGACCGCGTTTAGCGGAAAGGGATCAAGCCACATCAACTATTGCCGAATTTGATTGGGCTATTTGATCTTTTACAAGAGAACGTTAACGTCGTTTCCTCCACAAAAGAACGTAATTAAATTTCAGCGTTGCCAAATTTTCCTTCGCAAATTGTACTTTTAAGAGGAGAATTTTGGGCATTTCCAACTAAACATTTTACTGATTTTTCTTTTGATTTTATGAAAAAATCAGGCAAAGTTTGGACGAAAATTGCACACGTACAATCTTATACAAAATTGAATTTCTTGGGTCAATTTTGCAACCTTGGAGTGAAGTTACGTTCCTTCGTTCGGGAAGTGACGGTTTGTGCGGGTTCCGTTATACATTTTAGGGAATTTTCTCAGTAAAATGCAGAAAATTCACTGAAATTTGCACAAAAATTTACACATCAGTTTTCATGTAAAAATTAGATTTTCCAGTTAAATTTGGAAATGGCTGACGAGGCTTGGTTCCTTTCTGCTTAACGGAGATAATATATTTGAGCCATTTTTAGCAGAAAGAAACCAAGCCACATCAGCTATATTGCCAAAAACTGGGCAATTTGATTTTTAACAAGAGAGCGTTTGTGCGGATTCCTTTGAAAATTGTAAGGAACTTTCTTCGTTTGTGCTATTCAGAAAATTCACTGAAATTTGCACAAAAATTCGCACACGGTTTATGTGTAAAAAATTCATTTGAATTTGGCAATGGCTGATGAGGCTTGGTTCCTTTTCTGCTTAAGTGCTTAACGCGGTTCATTTTAGAGACTCCGGAATAACAATCAAACTGGTAAGGCCTTATCTCCACTGGGCGTTTCAGGGGATTTGTCCTGAGTTCGAATTGCAGGAATAAAACTTCTGGGCTTTTTCCCGCCGTAAGGCCTTGTCTCCACCGGCTGTTTCATGGAATTCGTCCCACGGAACAATACCACAGAATTGAAGTCAGGAAAAATATTAAGCTAATCAATATTTTCCCCAGTACCGAGTACGGCCCTTGTGCCTCGAGACCAACTAAGAGAGGAGGAAGGAGTGAAAGCGAATTGTGCGATATTTTTTTGTGTACTCTATTGTTGATGTTTGCATGTTTAATTAAAATAATGTGTCTGATTGTTGGTCGTGTTCGAATATTATCTTAATTCCGGTTAAATACGCGATTTTTTACTAATTTATCTTCGTTGACACATTCTACGAACAACATATATGCCATTAATTTCCCTTAGCAAATCATCGCTGTTAAGAACTTAATATGAGCCACAAAAGTCAGTTCCTCTATGTGCATAATGCAGTTCATCGGATAGCCATTCACGATTTTAACAAAATGGCAACACTGAGTTTTTTCTATTTAAATGTATGTAAAACAATCGATTCTACCTCATCAAGCATCAATAATTATAATAGCTTTAAGGGGAGGAAAAACAGTGTTGCCAACATGCGAGATTCCCGATGATTTGAGCCCTCGGCTAGTTTCTACGAAAATGATGAGCAGTGACGCCCAGTGCGTGACACAGTTCCACGCGCACGAAGAGTCATACGAGACAAGTCGCTATTACAACGTAAACTCGCCAGTAAAGTGTCAAACAGCTGACGACATGAAAATTATGAAGCTCAATGAAGAGGAAATGAATTCATGCCCGAGGTATGTGGCGTGTGACGAGGACGGTGATGAGATGGCAGTAAACCTAGTTTTTGAAAAGAGAATGATTCCTAAGACTAAGGACGGAGACAATTTATTTTAGAGACCCCGCACCATCAATCTAAGCAACGTACTTGGGTTAGGCAAAAATTAAATGTCGGAGGTCAACGCTTCTTTTTGCTTTGTAATGATTGGTGAGCAACTTGTTGAGTAATACTTAGATCGAATAAAAAAAGCCTGAAGCTTGGAATCCACTATTCGAATAGGCCTACCGAAATGGATCATCAATACGATTGTTGAGTCCTGCCGATCAAATTTAAGAGGCGCCGCTACTTTTTAATCAAAATACTTCTTTACTTAGAGCGACGTCACTACTTGTTTGAGGACACTTTAATATTTTTATCTTGAGAGTACATTTAACAAGTGAATGTTTCTGATGGAATTCATCAATGTCGTCAACTGACCAACAAAGCTTACAATGACACTGGTAAAAATTGGCAGGAGAATCTGTGTTTCAAAATACCATAGACCTACAGCCGGCTGTAAGATTTCCAATAGCTTCTATAGCCGGCTACACAATTTCTTATAGCCATTTGTATGCGATGGCGATTAAGTAACAGCCAGGCGATAAAGTGTATGCTAAACGTTACTAATTACGGATGCTAGGACTTAGTGAGTTTTTGGACTACCGCTCTTTTTTTGGGCCGTAGTATCTTGATTTATTTTGCGAGGAAAGCTCCGTACTTTTGAAGGATGCCTGCCATTCCTAATATGTTGGAGCGCCTTCAATTTCGTATGATACTGTGCAATACCTCTGGTGTAAAATAGTTGCTTCAAGCGCCGTGGTACGCTGCGGCGCGGCGGCGGCGGGTGGGCAGCCGGCGCGAAACGCGCACTGGCGCCTACAAACCTAACAGGGATACTTCACGCATTGCAATGCGTGAAGTATCCCTCCGTTCGTGAAGTAGGTTTGTAGGCGCCAGTGCGCCGCCGCTCCGCTTTGTGTTAGGCTTTAATATTTAATCTCTTGGAGTCAGCGTTTTTCAACTCGTGACTTTGAAATTTCTGCACACTCTGAATGGATTATTCTCATTTTAATTGATGAAAAAAAAAAAAAAATGTAGTAAAGGAAAATATAATGTTTGTTTTGTAAATATTAAGGTGATTCCGTACAAACTTAAGGATTTACAAAGCACACGAATTTCTACACAATTTCTTATAGCCTTTTTTAGCCAATGGCAAAAACGCAACAGCCAGGCGATAAAGTGTAAAGCCCGGCGATAGGAACTATAACCCGGCTGTATAATTTTTTATCGCTTCGTGTAGACCGGCCGTATGATTTTTTCCACTTTCTACAGCCAGCTATATGATTTTCTATCGCCTTCTTAAGTCGGCTATAAGAACTCCCATGGTATTTTGAAACACAGCTCCTATCGCCTATTTTTACCAGGGGACCGTAATTTTCTCTCACATCCGCGGATACATTGAAAACAGAATGTGATAACATGCACGAAGAGAAATATCGCTGGTGAAACTCCCAAAACGTTGCAGCCTTTCCTGTCATACTTTATTTTTTACTTGGAAGACAACTCGATGTCAATTCTCTAAAACCTCCTCAATTTTTCTCATTTGTGCGAAGAAAATCATTTGAAAACTTCAAGAAAAAATGTTGATTTGTTCTTCAACATAAAAATGAAAAGGGAGCGATGATTCTGAAACGCCGTAAACGACAAACGCGGTTTGGGAGTTTCACCGTCGATAACTAACAACTAAAATACCCGAATCTACCTTCATCATAGGATACAGCATGCATAAGATACAACCATTTCAACGTGCAGGATCCATTTTTGCCTATCCGCTCCAGAGAAGGCGAAATGCCACTTTAAACTACGTTTGCGTTAAAATTTTTGCCCTCATTATGCCGGTTAGGCCAAAACTGCCCACGAGTCGAAACGGTCACACTCTCAGAAAATGACCCTGACCCAGGTCCATCACGCACTTTTGCTGGCGGTGTTTGGGGGGGGGGGCAGACAGCGGAAGCCTCTTAGCCGCCTGCGGTTATTTATGCTCTGTTTACACTGCATTAACTCCTCGGAGCAAAGCGAGTGATGAAAGTGTGAAGGGGTACTCACATTGGCTAGAACAGAAGTGGTAACGTGGGAGAAGAGTGCGAGGAGGAAGAGATTGCGGATTTGTCGGCCCATTGGCGGGCGCGGTCGGCTGCGAGGCATCGTCGCTGGTCGCCGGCGCGGGCGGTCACTGTCACTGCCACTGATCACTTGTCACTGGGCCACATGGACCAAGGGCTCCGGAGCCCCGAACGGCCACCAACTTCACTGCACCGCCCCCAGGGGAGAGCTCATCTTCGCGCACCGCGCGGTAATCACTGCACCGCCCTGAAGACCTGGAACAAAACATCGGATTCGGATTATATTCAATCGGAAATTATAAGGCAACGTTTTTTCTAAAATGCCGCACAGTAGATCGAGTCGATAGGAGAAGTCGAACATGGTTTAAAAACTTGAAGTAGCTTTGTACAAGTAGGTACAAATGAACGTATTTCTACTAAACAGACCTATGTGGAGGTGAGAAATATGGGGTGTGTTCTCTTTGCGTAAGAGTGAAGGAGAATAATAAAGCGCCAGTGACGTCAGCGGCAACGAACAATACGTGTTACGACGACGAGCTCGTCGACGGTGCGCTTTAACTCATGAGCCCTGTCCACAACGCTCTCTTGCCGTGCCCGCGGCTCATATATCCCGCATTCAGTTGGCACATAGGTCTTTTTGATAGAATGTAAAATCCCGCTTTTCCATTTCTCCAAAAGAAATAACGCCCTTTTTCACATTGTTTCTTATGCAGCTCTCTAAAGCACACCCCATATTTCTCACCTCCACATAGGTCTGTTTGGTAGAAATACGTCCAAATACTTGACACATACATCTTGAAATCAAGAAATTAACAACTGACCGTTTACCTGTCGAGTCACTCCCGAAAGTGCTGATGAGAGCTACCTTCAGTTCCACATAAATCACTTATGGGTGATTTCACGATAATAGGCATAGTCGTGTCGCCGTGGGTTCTGAACGACATAGGGCAAAACGATTGAAAACCAAATTAATTAATCAATAGGAATGATGTCCCTGAACCTATCCATGCTAAAAAATATGATGAATTATAATTATATTTAATAATATGAGACTTTAAAGGCCGAAAATGTCCGGTCGGTTACGCGTCGCCAACCCCGATTTTGAAGCAAAAGAGCAATTTGCGGTAACATATCAGTACTGATCACGAACTCTTTGGCAATATTTGCTGAAAAGAGACTCTAGTGTTCAAGAAAATTGCCAGTTTGAACTGAAATGTTTATTATTGAGCGAGAAAAGTCATAAGAAAGAGATGTCGCCACATTTGGCAACAAATTTTTGCAGTTGTATTAAGTGCAGTGTTTATCTCGCCAGATGGAGTCAGGAGTTTCAAAACTGCCATCAAATTGTTCGCTGAAGTTTTCTTGACAAAACCATTACTGATAAGTCAGTTTTTTTTTACAATGAAAACTTAAATTATTAAGAAAACCAGTGATTTTTACGTGTGTAGCACTAATTCCTCACTACGCAAAAACCTCAATTTAATAGTATTAAACTAAAACGAAGTCTCCAAAGTTTAGAAAACTTTTAAGGCAGCATTAATTCCAACTCATAACTCAAGAATTGCCAAGTTTCATCTTTTGTATCATCTTTAATCTCACATTTTTGAGTGTCGGTTACGCTGTGTCTGTTACGTAACCGACACAATTTGGCAGGGCCGCCATGTTTGCGTGGACCTCCAGCAGTCCCGCGGGAAGCGCTGATACCTGATTCAATGGCTTGTTTATCAATCACTTTAACTTTGCACTGAATCAAAATAGAGCGTGCCAAAGCTGGATAAAGGAAGTTTAATACCTTTAGAATGAGGTAATGAAATCCTGTTAAAATTGGTGCACTTTTATTTCTCAGGTATTTCATATTTTAACTATTCCTGTTATCGTGAAATCACCCTTATGTGATTCGGAATTCTACCAAACCAGTTAAACTTCTGAGCAATTTCCTCGATTTTCTCTCCTTAAGGCGGAGAAAATTATGTGAAAACTTCAAGGAAGAATGTTGACTTGCTCTCCTTCATAGAAATGAAAAGGGAGTGAAGATTCTGAAACATCGCAAACAAGATACGCGGTTTGGAAGTTTCACCGTCGATAACTAACAACTGAAGGACCCGAAACCACCTTCATCATGGGATACAACTATATCAACGCGTAGGATACGTTTTTGCCTACCCCCTCAAGTGAAGGCGAAATGCTACTTAAAACTTAACGATTCACCGAAATCACCTATGTGATTAGGAATTCTACCGAATCAGTTAAACCTCTGAGCATTTGCACTGACACATGTAATTATTTTGTTTTGTGTCTAGACTAATATTGCAGGAACCATTATACTATTCTGCCGTGCTAAATGAGAACGCCGTATGGACATTCAAGAGTTGCCAAATTTCCGTCGATAAAATATTTGTTTTTCAGGAAAGTTATGAATAGTTGTCCTTTAACTTTTCAGAATCTTTAGGTAAAATTGCGAACTAAATTATCAGAAAAATTGGGAGAAAAATATTCATAAATTGACCAGGAAATTCGCGTTTTATCCAATGAAATTTGGCAACGCCTGAAGGTTCATACGGCGTATTTCCTTAGCACGGCAGTATTGGTGAAATAAAATAATGCAACAAGCTATCTGCCACCACTTGGATAGATAGCGGCTGATTTCTAGGTAAAATCTCGTGTTTCCACAAGTGATTTTTCACTGAGTGTGTGAATCAACCGAATCGAAGACTTGGAGCAGCTGAAATTGTGACTGAATAACGATCCTCACGCGAGGCACTCAGCCACGCTGGCGCTAGCTCAGCACCGAGGAGGCCACCAGTATTCCTGATCAGCAATATATTCGTTGCTTTACCGAAGACGAGAACTCCTCTTGCCGGATCATCGGAGATTCCCGGAAACTCGCCGTCCTCCCGTTAAATATTTGCTCAATTTGAGTTGGAATTCGGCAACGTTGCGAACTCAGCGTTTATTTCAGCCACTTCAAACGAATTCCTCGACGCTCTTGCCGTTCCGCGAGCAGCGCTTTTCCGCGATTTTGACGCGGGCTGGAGGCCAGCGGCAATGAACTTTACGTTAGATAGTTCCGACCGTCGTTAGATAATCGATTAATCGGTATCTTTCGAGTCGGATTAGGATTCAATTACTTTGTCCTCGATTGGTCAAGCACTCGAATTATCAAAAAGATCGACGAAGCGTGAAAATTAACCGAAATCGAACTTTCCTTTAAAAAGAAAAAAAGAAAAACAAATGCGGAGCCAACTTGTAACCCATAGCTAACTGACGGATTTTTTAAACTCTCCCTGCCTCGTAATGCATCCGTATCAAAGATCTGCAACCCCGAAAAAGTTTGATCCTTGTCATCAAATCAACGATTTGTGATGAATTCGTCGTTTCTTTCACGGAAGAATGTAGTACATTTCAATTTTGCTAGATTTTTGGCGCAAATTGCATTTTTAGCGGGAGAATTGTGAGAATTTCTGATGAAAAATCGGACTAATATTTCTTATGATCGCACGCAAAAATCAGACAAATTTTCGACGAAAATCGTGCCGGTTTGAAGTTGTGTAAATTGAATTCTTTGACTCAATTTTGCAATCGGGGAATGGAGTTACGTCCCTTCGTGTGAAAGACGACGAATTTTGGATGAAAAGTTGCCACCTTGCGTTGAGTTCCCATCACAGGCTATTTTCGAAAAATCGCCGTTACGCGCTCGTTTAAGTGTCCCGTAACGCAGTCTTGGACGCCCTTCATCCCCCCGTAACGCACTCGTGACGCAAGCACAGACCCTTCTCTTTCGTTAAGGCGAAATGCAGGTATTTTATAAACGGTCCCTTGCAACATTTCCGCGGAGGTATTCTCAATACTAACTCCCATTTTGCCGTGCTAAGGAAGAACGTCGTATGATCCTGCGGACGTTGCCAAGTTTTGTTTGATAAAATACGATTTTACCGGTAAAGTTATGAATATCTTCCTTTCAATTTTTTAGAAAACGTTGTTTGAAGTCTCATCTATAATATCTGAAGATTTTAGGGAAAAATCTGCATAACTTTCTTCCAAAAGAACCATTTTATCTGAGGAAATTTGGCAACTTTTGAATATTTGTATACGCCGTTTTTCTCTAGCACGGCAGCTGCACTCCGCGTAAATTTGGCAAATTTCACCCCGTAATTTAGTAACTTGGACAAACGATCTTTTCTCTGGTGCAGCTCCCTCCTCCCCCTCCCCTCGCCCCCAACGCTGCCTTGGCTTCTTGTTCCAATCTCCCTAATGGCTCCGATTCATAATTATTTCAGCAGTGCGAAACTGATACCAAATCTGCGTGAAATGAGCAACGATAAATAGATGATCAAAACTGACGGAGGATTCGCGAAGGTAAAACGTCAAGCGTTCAAAGCATGTGGTGAATAAATGACAGCGCCAAGCAGGTGGATTATTTCCAAGTGAGCCTTTCACAGCAGTGGCGTGGCGTGAATTGCGATGTATCGATTGTTATGCCATTTAAACCTATGGTAAAAAATCGATTTTTGAGGTGTTCGCTGCGAACACCCGTTTATCGATCCTTTTCCATAGGTTTAAATGGTATATCAATCGATGTATCGCAATTCACGCCACGTCACTGTAGTTCCACAGTCGTGCAAAACTTTCCCCGAAGTTTTTCAACTTCGCGGGCTGGCGAAGTTTGCGGCTCAAGGGGTTTAGATGAAGCTCCGTTACAGGTCATTAAAGGTGGAAGTTGAAAATAGCGCGGGAAAAAAAGGGTTTTATTTTCTCTCAATTATGATCCAAATTAGAGGCTATGGGCATGCACCTTTTCTCGAACGATTAAAAGTTGGGACGTACACGCTCGAGTATGATGCTTTTCGTTGTTTTTCCGCGATTTCCTTTTCTTCTTAGGCCGAGGATCAACCTGCGGCTACGAAAATAACTGGGAAATAATGAGACTCAGAAAGGGGTTATGAGATTCAAACTAGGAAATGAAGATCGGTGGTTTGCGAGAGGTGCCATTGAAAAACAGCGGCTAAGTACATAGACAGCAACTGAGGGCTATGACTGGAAATTAAAAGATTTTCTTCTAAAAAAAAAAAAAAAAAAAAAAAAAAAAAAAAAAAAAAAAAAAAAAAAAAAAAAAAAAAAAAAAAANTTTAGGGGAAGGGGGGGGGGATCGAGGAGAGCGTTACGCCATTTTGTCTTCAGCTAGTCGTTCAGTCTTTTAAATAGTTTTATCCTTCCCGAAACAATATTGGCCTAATGCTCCGGTAAATTCTAAGGAA